GTGCGCGTAGGGTTTTACTCAGGTGGACGTGGGAGCTCGTGTGTGGGGTGTTCGACCATCGATTTCGATGACGGCTTGTTGATAACCCCAGCCAGTGCACGGAATACCGCCCATATACGCAATTACGGGGAAGTGGGACCGAAGTGAGACCTTTGGTCCCACTGGAACCATTCTATCCTTTGGTTCCGGAACATTGCTATTGGGGGTTTTCATAAACGGCTTATTTCATTAATATCAATCCCATTACCTATATTATCGCGGAGATCTCCAGTGTTCTTCTTACGGTTTTATTGCCTTGAAGAACGGAACTAAAATAGCAAAATATTGCAATGTCCGCGAATTAGCCAGCTGCTCAGGAAATACCTTGAGGGCCCAACTAACCAATCAATTTTGCGCGTTGAGAATTGGTAATTGCCGCGTTTTGGTGTTCAGGCCTGAGGGTTAAAAATGTCTCGAAGGAGTTTTGGTGGTCGAAGGCAATTTAGTAGCAGAGGCAGGTTTGGAGACCCATCTAACGGTAGTAACAGCAAGAATAGCTTTCAATTATCAGAAGCCGACAAAGATGCACCACTGGATATTGAAATCACCATGTCAGAATCAAATGAAAACAGGTTTCGTCGGGCGAAAGCCAATGAAATCATTGATTGCAAGTACGGCTTTGAAAATTTCTCGGGCCCCGGTGAAAAACTAGGATGGTTGATTAATACTCATCCAACTGATATCCTTGATGAATCCAGAAACCTTGTTAGCGCCGTCGATTTTTATTTTCTTCAAGCAGATGGCTCAAGGTTTAAAGTCTCGCGTGCTTTCCTCCCGTACTTCTACGTATCGGTCATGGGCGACCGCGGAGTCGAAGCGGAAGTCACAACATTTCTTACCCGCAAATATTCTGGACGCATAGCAAAGATTGATTTGATTGAAAAGGAGGATCTTGACATGCCTAACCATCTGGTGGGGATCAAGGCAAGATACTTGAAATTGTCCTTCAACAGCGTCGACGAGCTCACTCGAGTTCGGCGAGAAATAGCCAGCCGTGTGAAAGCTAATCGAGAAATTCAGAGTCTGAAGTCTAGCTATACTGACATGCTAGGCGAGCATTTCGCGGACACAACTGATGCGTCTTCTGGGTACTCTAAAACAAAAATGGCGAGCAAAGTTACCGATGCACTGGATTACCTTAGCGATATTCGGGAATATGATGTCCCATACCTAATGAGAGTCTGCATTGACTTAAATATATTTGCAGCTCATTGGTATACTGTCAAGTGTCGACCGAGTCAGCCTCCCGAATTCATAAAGTCAGAAGAAACTGTAGCTTGGCCGGAGCCGGTCGTGTTGGCTTTCGACATCGAGACAACAAAGCTGCCTCTTAAG